ACAGATTTAAGATTTTATTATCATTTTAAAATTACCTCTCCAACAGATTTAAAATTTTATTATCACTTTAAAATTATCTCACTAATAGACAATGATTTGCTTTTTTCTGCAAACAAATTTTTGAAACTCTCCTTTCATAATCTTTATGCTATCTCAATACAACTTATCAGCACCTTATCATAACTATCATTATCTAATACTCGTTATCAGTGTCTTATCATCATTATTATTATCATTATCTAATGGATAATGTTCGAAATGCATTTACAACACATTAATGATATCATATGTTTTATCAACAATATTATTTCAAAATTTATCATTTAAAATTTTCTCATTACAAAAAAAAAAAGGAAAAACTTAATAAATGCAACGATATAATTTAAAAGTATTTAAAATACTAATCAGTTTAGCAATGCTTTGAATGCATAATATTTTGCAAGGATACATTAAATTTTTTTTGAAAATAAAAAAAAAGTGTTAAAATTTTTTTTATTGCAATTTTATGAGATTTTTAAAATAATGGTACTAATTATCATTTATGATAAATTTAGTGTAATATTTTTGAAACTATTGTTAATTTTTCTTTTTTCTAAAACAAAAAGTTAATTGCATTACTAATTTTAGTTTTTTTTTTATTTTTATTTTTCTTTTTTGTCGGATATTTTTTGATGTATTTTTTTTCCTTTTTATCATTAATGATAATAGTTTCTGCCAGATGATTAGAAAAAATTTTTTTTTTTGCTCTTCTCTCTCTCTTTTTTTTTTCTTTTCGTATATAATGTTTAAAAGAATTTTTCTTTTTGATTAGATTCTTTTCATTTTTTCTTGTTAAATATAACAATTACTCATCGCCAGTGATTACATTTTAAAAAAAAATTCAAAGAATTTAGGATAGTAAAATGTTTGAAATAATTTCACAAAAACGTCTTCATTTGAAAAAAAAAAAACTTTTTATATTTTTTGAAAAAAGGAAAAATTATTATTCAATGTAATTTATTAGTGATATAATTACAATTTAGAAAATTTTAAATTAAAAATATATTGTTAAAATTATGATTGCCTTATTGCTTATTAAATTAAAGTTTAATTAGTATATGTCAATTAGTGCTAAGTATTTTAGTAATTTTTTAAATTTTAACATTTATTTATTTAGTTCAAACAATGAAAACAAATGCTAATCCACCGATTTAGGCTTAAATTACATATGGATTGCAAACTAAATTGCTATCAAATAGTTTAAATGAGATGGAAGAGATAAAATTGATAAATGATTCAGATATAAACAGTTGTCTTCGATCATCAAATGCCATACCTTTTCAAATATTTAGCACTTCTTCACTATATATTTTAATATATTATAATTCAATTTAATTAAAAGATGCATTAATTAAATTTTAATTTTTCACTATTTTATTTCATTTATTAAATAATATCATTAATTTATCTCATATTTGCAATATTGTGTAATAATTGTAATAATAAGTAATGCATTTGTAAGAAATATGCTAACAAAAAAAAAAAAAGATAAATAATTTAAATGATAACGATAGCAGTAATCAATTAGTGATAATTAATTATACAATGAAAGATAATGATAAGGAACAAAGATTGAATTTTAGTATTTTATTGATAACTTTTAAAATTTTGTATAGATCATTTGTTACAGAGCAAATAGTAATGGATAAAGAAAAAAAAAAAATTCTCTTTGATCGTTAATATATTTTTGTTGAGATGAGCATATGAGCAGTTGAAATTTTAAATTGTAAACTGAAATATTTAATAAATTGTTAAGATTAATTATGATAATTTATTCGTTCAAATTTTGTTATTCAATTTGATTTCATTTTGTCATTAATATTTCTATAATTAACTATTCATATTAATTATTCTATAATAAACAATCAATTTTGTTTTAATTAATTCAAAAAAAAATTACTTCATTAATTCGTAGATTAAAATTAAAATTATTTAATAATTTGTTGAAATTAATTATGATAATTTCTTCGTTCAAATTTTGTTATTCAATTTGATTTCATTTTGTCATTAATATTTCTATAATTAACTATTCAAATTAATTATTCTATAATAAACAATCAATTTTGTTTTAATTAATTCAAAAAAAAAATTGCTTCATTAATTCGTAGATTAAAATTAAAATTATTTAATAAATTGTTAAATTAATTATGATAATTTCTTCGTTCAAATTTTGTTATTCAATTTGATTTCATTTTGTCATTAATATTTCTATAATTAACTATTCAAATTAATTATTCTGTAATAAACAATCAATTTTGTTTTAATTAATTCAAAAAAAATTACTTCATTAATTAGTAGATTAAAATTAAAATTATTTAATAAATTGTTGAAATTAATTATGATAATTTCTTTGCTCAAATTTTGTTATTCTATTTGATTTCATTTTGTCATTAATACTTCTATAAATAGCAATCAATTTTGTTTTAATTAATTCAAAAAAAAATTACTTCATTAATTCGTAGATTAAAATTAAAATTAATAGTGAAATTTTTTACAGATTTTATTACTATTAGGCATTTTTAAATTAACATAATTTAATGTTTAAATTGAAATCATTTGACAATAATAATAGAAAAAGAAAATGTCAAATTTATTTCATCCATTTCTCAATCAAATTTATCTCAAAAAAAAAAAAAAAAAACATTTTCCATTATAATAATTCATTTGTTTATTTTAAATATTTTAAAAAAAAAATGAGTTGAAATGAAATTTTGACCATTGTTTAAATATTTCTTTCAGTCTTCATACATACCTTTTATCTTTTTTTTTTTTTCACTTTGTTTTTCTTTTTGTTTTTACTAAACAAAACTTTTGCAAAATGATTAATTAATTTCAGTTGTCAAGATTTTATTTATTGATAAATCACAAAACATTTGCTTTAAATTTAAAATTTCTTATCGTTAATAATTTATATTATTGTTTATTTTATTTTTTTTTTATTTTTTGTCTTTTCATACTTAACAATTAGTTCTATGTTTTGGTTAGCAAAAATGAGCAAAAGATTTTGTTTATTTATTTTTGTAAATATTTGCTACACAAATAAACAATGATTATTTATATAACAAAATATTTAATCAGTAAATAATCACATGATATTTTATCATTTAAAAATATAAATGTTTTTAGTTAAAAATTTCCTTTCATTTATATTTTCTTCCTTTTTTTTTTTACATTCCTGGACATTTGGAAACTTTTTTCATCAATCAATTGATCAGTCAATCGATCGATCAATTAATCAATCAATCAATTTTTTTTTGCTTCCACAATAATTGAACTTTATGATATCGAAGTGAAGTAATTTGTAAATGTTAAAATAATTTAAAGAAAGTAACATTGAAATGTCTAAACTAAGTTACAAAAAAAACTAAGAGGGAAAAGGGAGAGAGAGAGAGAGGTAGAGAGAGGGCGAGAAAGAGAAAGGAATTTTTATAAAATACACTTTCAACAGTTGGCATTCAAATAACGAAAAAGAAAATAAAATTCATCCTTAGGTCGTATCAACACAAAATAGACAGACAACACACACATACACATACACACACACACACACACACAAACACACACATACACTACAATCGCATGGTAGGGTTGTTTTTTTTTTTTTTTTTTTTTCAAAAATTAATTTCAATTATTAAATATTTAAAATTTAGAACTGAAAAAGAATAAATAATGCAAAATTTATTTTTCAATTCTTTTTGTTATTTTACAAAAATTTTATAATATTTAGAATAAGTTTTGTACGAATAAATATGACATATTTCAAAAATTGTTCTGCTAGCATTTGCATGACTAAAAATTAAATCAATTTGCATTTTAATTCAATTTAAGCAATTTTGTTAATTTGTTATAAATTATTCAAATTTCATTTTCTAAATTATACTTATGCTATAGTGCACAATTACAATATGACATTATTCCTAAAATAACTGCATAATTGTATTATAAAATAATTTCAGGTCATGCGTGAAATTTTTGACGTAAAATAATGCATTATCATGAAATAATTTCAGGCCATACGTGAAATTTTTGACGTAAAATAATTGCATTGTCATGAAATAATTTTATGTCATACGTGAAAATTTTGACGTAAAATAATTGCATTATTGTAAAATAATTCCAGGTCATACGTGAAATTTTTGACGAATAAGCGAAATGAGCATTTTATTAATTTTTAATTGGCCTGTTTGATGCATAATCATACTTTTATGATAACTACTTACATTTATTGTACTGAAAAGCCACTATAATAACCGTTCGATATCACTAAATGATAAAGTGATAATGGATAATGATATCACCAAATGATAAAATGATAATGGATAATGATATCACCAAATGATAAAGTGATAATGAACAATTATTTGGCAATTTTAAAACTAATTATTGCCTTTTTGGTGGTCGAATTACATTTTATCAGCAATTATTTTACAACAAAAATAAATGCAAATTTTCAACAATTCTACAGTTCAGGCCATCTTTGCAATTGTTATTTGTTGCCTGAAACTATCCTCCTAAAAGGTTAGTAAATTTTATTAAAATAATTTTATCAAATTTTTATTAAAATTTTATTAAAATGAAAAGATAGAAGGAGAAAATTGAAATGAAATAATATTAGTAATGAAAATTTTGCACTTTTCTTTTCTTAGTTTTTTTTGAAATTTTTTTTGAATTTGAAAATTTTCAATTTTCTTGTAAAAATTTTTATTATATATTTAGGAAGTTTATGATGCAAAAGAGAAGAAAATTTTTTTTTTTGATTGATTGCATAAATTAATAATTAAGGTTAAGAAATTACGTATAAGTGAGATGTTCATTTTACGTATAATAATTCAGTGAGACGTGTTTTTTTACGTATAATAATTCAGTGAGACGTGTTAGCCAATCGATGCATCGTTGTTGTACTGAAGCATTAGAAGCTGGCCGGAAGCTTTATCAACAAGCATTGAGAAAGTTTAGAAAAAATGATGCGGAAAATTTCGATTCAGATGAACGTACCGCACTCAGTCAGTCAGCTGAACGTATTCCGGAATCTGTTGATGATGAATCATCGTCTGCTGCGGCTTTCTCGTCGATCTTCCCTCCTTGTAAAAATTTTGTCACATTTTTTTTTTTTTTTTTTTTTTTGTTTTATTAGAATTAGTTTTTTAAAAAAAAAAAAGAAAAGAGATGAAATAAAAAAATTTAATTAATATTTTACTAAACTTTAATTTATCAGTTTTGATAAATAACTGATAAATAAATAAATTTCTAATAAAATTTCTTTTTTTTTTTCTCAAAAATTATCGATGAATTTTGCATATATTTTTAGGTCGATTTAATTTCACTTTTTCAACGATCTTCTTCAAATACTGTTAAACCAATTCGTCTTCCTGGACAGTTCACTGGAACACAGTTAGTTTTATTCTTTATTTTTTGTTTTTTACTTATATTTTTTACTGCAATTTTTAATTAATTATAAGCAAATTTTGGTAGTAATAAAAATTAAAATTAATTTAGCACAGATCGATTTCATCAATATAAAATCTCATGTATTTGTGTTTTATATTAACTAAACGATTTGTATCAAAATTTATTAATTTTCAAAGTTCAAATTTATTAATTTTTAAAATTTAAAAGAGATTCTGTGACATGTTAAAAGTGTCTAAAATTCATTTCAAATATATTATTGCATATTTAAGAAATCATTGAAAAAATCCAGTGATTGCTCTTAGGCCAAAATGCAAACAATTAAAAAAGAAAAACGAACTTAATTAATTAATTCATCAAAATTTAATAAAAATGAATTAATGAATAAAATTTTAGAATGTAGTGTTCCCTTTTCTGTTGCTCTGATATATGATTCAAGTATATTCTAATTTATGATTAATTCATTGAAATTTTAATTTATAATTAATTCATTCGAGTATATTTTAATCTATTATTATTTTAATTTATAATTGCATGTTTGTTGTCAAATTCTTATCAAACTTTTAACCTCAATTTTTTTTTTTTTTAATCACTTAAATAATTTTTTTTGAATCTCATAGCATCCACAGCCTGAAATGATAATAGACAATGATTAATATTAAAAAATGAAAATTTTTACAGGGATGAAAATGAGGAAGAGGAAGACGAAGATCCGAAACAGATGTCAAAAGGATGGGTACTGGAAACGATACGTCAAAAAAAGGAAGCAATTATCCGTTTACGAAGTCAACCGTGGAGTATGAAGCGGAAAAGACGTGCCCTAAAGTATGCAAAATTAATCATTCATCACTTCTTCATTTGAATTTATTGAAAAAAAAAAAAACTTTATAAAGTATAAAATTTATTTTCAATAAAAAATTAGAAATAATTATATTAAATTGTTAAAACATATAAAATAATTAATAAAATTAAATGTCTAAAATTCATTACAGTATATGAATATAAATTTAAATTTTAAAAGAAATTTTTTTAGAGTAGCACGACGATATCTAAAACGTCAACAATCAAAAGTATCACGATGGCATCTGTATAAAGTAGAAGCAACCAGGCAATGGACAGCATTTGGCCGTTGGTGTAGTAATATGAAAATTTATTTAATACCATGGGAAGCAAAAATTAAAACAATCGAGAGTAGGTTAATTTAATTTAATTAATTATTCTAATTAATTAGTTTTTTCTTTATTTTCTATTATATTCTATATTCTAATTAATTATGATTATAATTTTTTTGTTTTCTATCAAAGATTTTTTTTTGTTGAAATGCTAAAATTAGTGAAATAAATTTTAGAATACAACAATTTCCTCCAAGATTTTCACATAAACGATTGAATCAAAAAGAAACTTCTTGAAACCTTTGAATGCATAGTGAATTTTATATTATTAATTAAATTTTTTGTATTTATCATTTTCGAAGTTTAAATTGATAATTTGCATATTTATTTTAGGTCATTATGGTTCTGTAGTTTCATCTTATTTTACATTCTTACGATGGATTCTTAGTGTAAACATTACTATGACAATAATAATGATGTTGTTTGTTACCATTCCAGAGGTAAGTATACTTTCGATAAATGAATGATATAATAAATTTATAAATGCTAAGGTTTATTTTACTTTTCAAATATAATTCACGTAAGTTTGCTTGAAAAACGTGATCGTAACGTGAACGTGATTAAGCATGCAAACGTTATCAATAATGAAAGTTTGCTTATTTCAATTTATATGTTTAAACAATTGTGAAGTTTTTTTCTAAAACAAATTTAAGTGCTTTAAACAAAGTTAAAAAATTATTAAAATTAACAATTTAAAAGCTGAAAATATAAGTTTCTCTTTTTTTTTCCCTTTTGAAAACTTTGTTAAAATTTTATATTACATTAAATTTTTGTCACTAATTTCTTATAAAAATTTTATGTAAATTATTTTAGTAGCAATTATTGCTTATCTAAAATGATAAATTTTATAAAATATTTATTATATTAGTGAAAAAAAAAGGATTTGTTTAGTGGTTAGCAGATTCTCGAGGTGGCCCAGAACGATTTAATCGAACGTATCATATTAAAGTTATGAAAGAGAAAGATATACCACGAGCTGATGAGTTGAATACTGTTCTTGATTTTAAAGTAAGTATTTTTATTAAAGTATTCGTTTTTTTTTCTTTTAGACAAAAAATTGCTATAAAAGTTAAAAGGAAAAATATTAATTAACAAATTGTCAAAAAAGTATTAATAAAATTAATTACTGAGTTTTGTTAATCTGTCAATGACAAATAAATTTGCATTTTCTACTAAAACTAATTTTGAAAATATTTTCAAAAAATATTTGTTCAATAATATTGTTGTAAAAATCGTTGACAAAAATGTTATGCATGCATTATCGCATTATTATTTTAATAAAATATATTGTTTATTATTATTTATAAACTAATGAAATTCATATAGTATTCAATTAGAAAGGAATTAAAATCAAAAGATCACTTTAGATCACTGAAGTTACTGATAATTTATTATGATTTAAATGATATTATCACTAAGGTGAACCATTCAAATAATAATAATAATAATAACAATAATAATAATAATAATAGCAATAATAATAATAATGGAATGTAAGAGTGTTTAAAAAAGCAAACTATATATTTTAAAAAAATTGAATGACTTGATTCCAAATAAATTAGAATAATTGTAAAATGAATTTAACTCTTTTTCTATTTAATGCTATACTAAAATTATAAAATGAAATTAATAATAAAATTATAAAATAAAATCAATACTAAAATACTATACTAAAATTATAAAATAAAATTAATACTAAAATAGTATACTAAAATTATAAAATGAAATTAATATTAAAATACTATACTAAAATTATAAAATGAAATTAATATTAAAATTATAAAATAAAATTAATATTAAAATACTATACTAAAATTATAAAATAAAATTAATACTAAAATTTTTTAACGTTATTTACTAGATTTTTTCTCTTTTTTCAAATTTTTCTTTCTTAATTAAATTTCATTTTAGGGCTATTTCGAGTATTCATTGTTATTTTATGGCTACTATAGCAGTGAAACATATTTCGGTGATACGGTGCAATACAGTGTACCTGTTGCATATTTTATTGTAAATTTATTTATTCTCGGTTACAGTTTTTTTATTATTTTACAAAAGTAAGTTTTATACTATTTTAATTTTTTTTAAATTTATTTTATTTTTTTTTATGCAAATTCATCAAACTAATTTTTTCTTTTTTTTTTTGATTTTAACTTTAAAGACAGAATAATTTTCAAAAAGTTCATAAAAATAATTTCTTATATTTTTCATAAATTGTGACCGGAAATAGTTTCATGACCGGTTTTAGTGTAAGAATTTTTAATAGATATTTGAATGTAGCAATAGTTTAGAGAAAAAAATTAAGGAATGTTTTTCAGGATGGCATCAAATGCTCGACAAAGTAAGCTTTCCGGTGGTAAAGCGGAGCAATATGTATTTAACTGGAAATTATTTGCCGGTTGGGATTACTCAATCGGAAATGCGGAAACTGCTTCGAACTTTGTAATGGCTAATGTTAACAAATTTCGAGTATGTTATATTGCATTTGTGTTTGTTTGTTTGTTTGTTTTGTTTTAATTTTCTAAAATTTTGATTTTCTAAAATTACAAATTTTGCATTCTGAATTTAAATTTAATTAAATTTAATGAACTTTGATTAGAATTAATCGTTTGAAATTGGATTTATTTAACTAATTTGAAGTATTTTTGCAGGAAATAATTGCTGAATACAATGTAAACCGTACAAAAAAATTCGAGTAAGTATTTATTAATCAATATTATTCTTTTTTTTCTTTTCACTTATCTTAAGTGAAATACGTGAAATACGTCATTTAATTTATTTGCATTGTATAATATATATTTTAAATAAATAGTGTATGTTTGTTTATCTTTCAAAATAAACAATAGATATGCTCAATAAAAACTAGAAGAAACGAATGATAAGCAACAAATGATAATCAGAAGGAAATTCTATAGATCAAATGATATCAGTGATAATTTGAATCATATCACTAAACTTTTATTTCATTTGATTTTGCAATTTATATTTGCTATGAATCTAAAATTTTCCGATAATCAAGCAATCATTTAAAAAAAAAGAAAAAAATGTGCGATCATTTAAAAATTTTTTCCTAAAATTACAATTTAAAAAATTTGCAAAAAAAATTTTCCAATTTTCTAAATAATTAAATTTTATTTTTTTTTTTATAAGAAATTAAATAACAAAAATTATTTTATTAATTTTTTTTCTTTTTTTGTTTTGTTTTTTTTTTTTATAGCTTTCTTCAATTTACTCTTCGTGTCTTAGCAAATATATTAGTGTTTGCGATGCAAGCTGGATCAGTATGGGCTATTCTTGCTGTTAGTCAAATTACAACAAAAACAAGTTTCATACAGCGGGTAACTTCTATAAAATTTTCAATTAAAATTAAATTTATAAAATTGAATTAAATAAATTTATATTTTTAATTTTTACAAGCATAAATGATAAAACAAAAAAAAAAAAATTCATCCTAATTTTTATTTATAATAATATTATAAAAATAATTTCTGTAAATTTTTTTTTTTTTGAAATTTTGAAATTTAAATTATTATTAAATAATTGATCGAATTCATTTTAGAATGCTGTATCAATAACGGTCTCATTTATCACTTTAACATTTCCAAATTTTTTCGATCTCATCAGTAAAATGGAACGTTATCATCCACGAACTGCTCTTCGACTACAATTAGGAAGGTATCGTATTGTTTGATCAAATTTTATTTATTTTTATCTAAAGTATCAGATGAAAGAATTACTTATACTACAAGTATTACTTATACTATAATCTTAAGACTATTACCTATACTACTATAATTTGATCTTAGTTTTGTCCTACAAATCGATTGAATATAATATATTAAACTTTCGACGTATAATAATACTAAATATTTGCATTAAAGCAAGAATGAAATGTTATATGCTGTTTGTATCTCTTTGATTATTGATAATAATTGATAATTTCAATAGTTTTTCCTATTTTAAATTTTAATTGCTGATAATTTTTTCATTACTAAAAATTAATTTTTCTTTATTAATTAAAATTATTAGATTAATAGTGATTGTTTTTATCAGATTTTATCAGATTTATCAGAGTTTTTTTATCAGATTTATGAGAGTTTTTTTATCAGATTTATCAGAGTTTTTTTTTTTTTTTATCAGATTAATTATTTCAGGGTTTTATTCCTCTACATATTGAATTATTATACTCTTATTATTTCATTGATGTTTATGTTGAATACAATGGAAAGTCAACGAAACGTTGGTGAACGTCTTATTCCGGTTGCACAGTATTCTTCCGATTATCATCATAATAAGGCACCGGTTTACAACACTTCCTATAATCAATTTATTAAACAACGGTTCATTTTAATTTATATTCTGTCTTTCTGTTTTTTTTTTTTTTCAAAAACTAATTTTAAATTCGAAATATTTAAGTGTCATCTATTTTTGTTAATGTTTTGTTGTTTTTGTTTCTTTGTCTTTTTTTTTAACTTAAAATTATTAATTTCAAATTTGTATTTAATAAGACTTCATTTATGAACTTCTTTTGATGGAATAATTTTTAAATTATTTAAAAAATATTTTAAGATAATGCATTAGTAAAAATAATTTGAACACTGCAAATAATTTATAACTTTACAATCAATCAATTTTTCATTAGTATGAAGAATAAAGAAAAATGATCGGTAATTTGATCATACAAATGATTTGGCATTGTTATTGTACTTTCTTAATGTAATAAATATATTATTTCCATAATTAAATCATTTTAATGAAAAGTCAACGCAATTAATTAAAAAATTTAAAATTATTTTTATTCAAAAAGTAAAATTTAAAAAAGAAATTTTATTTAAAAAATTATTTTAATATGTTATAACCAAATTATATTAATATTGTATATTATATACTTATATTATGTAATACTTATAACATTATTATGCACTTTCTTAAACTTTCTTTTTGAAATTCATTGAAAACAATGAAATTAAATAATTGAAATGCTATTAATTGAATCTTTCTTTTTGCTTTAATAATAATATTTATATTATTTATTATCAGTGCTGGTCATCAAATATTATAATACTTATATTATTATTGTTATTATTAATATTGTTATTATTATGCACTTTCTTAATGTTTCTTTTTAAAATTCACTGAAAATAATGAAATTAAATAATTGAAATACTATAAATTGAATATTTATTATCAGAAGTGGTCGTCAAGTGGTATTCGATTTTCCATCTGTTGCGTCATCACTTTTCAATCGTAGTAAATTCATTGACATTCCAACAACGCCATCTCCTGGCAAATCATGGACAACTGTAAGAACTAATTATATCACAATTATTCTTGATATTATTTACAAAAAAAATTAGTTTAATTTCTATTATTCTTCCAATTTCATACTTCATCTTTTTTTTTGAAAACTATATATAATAATTATAATTATCATTTATAATTTTGCGAGAATTATTATTGTCATGATTATTATGATTTATAGCTGAATTTAACAGTATTACTTTTTAGTTTTAATTAAATTACAATTATGCATAAATTATTCTATCAACAAATGCAGGCGTTTTTTAATGATAAAATATAAAAATAGTTGTATTTTAGTGAGTAATTAAAATAACAGTAATATTTTTATTAGAATTACATCGAAATTTTTTAGCAAGTAAATCTATAAAAAATAGTATAGTTATAATGCAATAATTATAGCATTTCTAGCATGATTATACCTATTATTATATCATATTTTACATTTTTATTATTACTAAATACTTATTGTTTCGCATATTATTTTTTATTGTTTCACATATTATTTTTTTTTTTAATTTTTATTGTTTCACATATTATTTTTTTTTTTATTTTTTATTGTTTCACATATTATTTTTTTTGCTTATTGTTTCACATATTATTTTTTAATATTACTGAATGCTTATTGTTTTACATATTATTACTTATTGTTTCACATATTGTTCTAAAATGATTATAATGATTTTTTTATCATGATTCTATAAATCATTATCACTTTTCAAGGTTTTTCCAAACTTTGGTCCACTTGGTATCACAAATCCAAAAGCTGTTGTAAGTGAAAATCGACGTGGTATTATGAATGCAAGTACGTTTGTTGCATATCCAATTGGTAACACTGATTGGACAAAAAATATTTCCGCTAAACCAACATTTCTAAATTATTCCACTACCGTACAAGCGGTTTTGTCAGCAGCTCGTTTGTCCACGGATTGGTATGAGGAATGTTGGGAAAATCTTATCGGAGAGGTTTGTTAGATTTTTTTTTTTGTTATTATAATTATCATTAAAATTAGGTAAGTAACTTGTTAAAGTCATATTTTTATTAAAATAATATATTTTAAAATCATTTTCGTTTTTCATTATCATAATTACCATTAAAATTAGGTAAGTAACTTGTTAAAGTCATATTTTTATTAAAATTATATATTTTAAAATCATTTTCGTTTTTCATTATCATAATTACCATTAAAATTAGGTAAGTAACTTGTTAAAGTCATATTTTTATTAAAATTATATATTTTAAAATCATTTTCGTTTTTCATTATCATAATTACCATTAAAATTAGGTAAGTAACTTGTTAAAGTCATATTTTTATTAAAATTATATATTTTAAAATCATTTTCGTTTTTCATTATCATAATTACCATTAAAATTAGGTAAGTAACTTGTTAAAGTCATATTTTTATTAAAATAATATATTTTAAAATCATTTTCTTTTTTTTTTTAAAATCATCTATTATTCTACTAATTATTATCATTAGTGCATTATCATTATCTTTATTAGTAACTTTTATTTGCATATTATTGCAATATTAAAATGATTATTGATTATTTTAATTATTACTAATTCTAAATGATATAAATGATTTAAAGGTAGTTGAAATGAAAAAAATATTCACTGCAATAAAAGAAATAAAATTTGAATATTTTACAGTGATCAAATAAACAAAATAAAATATCGCTTAAATTATAAGTATAGAATAATTAAAAATAAAATAATATTTATTCAGAAATTTCATTTAATTTAAAAAAAAAAAAATTAAAGGAAATAACAAAATTGGTGACAACTGATTTGGTGATGACAATTGCATCCATTTTGGTGATCGATTTTTTCGAGCTCTTTGGGTTCGATACACCAATATTTGGTGGTTTTGGAATTTGGAAACAACATTTGTGCGTTTTTTTTTTTTATTCTTATCAATATTTAAACAAAAAAATAAATTATCAATTTTTTTAAAAAATTATTTAAAAAAAAAATTTTTTTTTTTAATAATATTTTCAGCCAGAATATGGTGAATTTAAAGTTGCTGAAAATGTGTTACATTTGGTAAATAATCAAGGAATGATATTGGGTTTATTTTTGTTCCTATGCTACCAGCAATTAATAATATTAAATTAATTATTCTAATGTATATTCGAGGTTGGGCTGTGATGACTTGTAATGTGCCAGCTCGGCAAATATTTCGTGCTTCCAGGTATGATAATTTAATTTAAAAAAAAAATTATTAATTTACAATAATACTCAAAAAAACCATTTTGTCGAAATAATTTGCAAAATTTTATTTTATTTTTTTTTTTTTTAAATTTGAATTTATGATATATTTTGTTGAATTTTTTTTTACTGCAGCAATTAAATATTGTATGAAATTCAAAATTTTAATTCTTCCTTTTTTTTTGAATTTGAATTTGAATTTACGATATATTTTGTTGAATTTTTTTACTGCAGCAATTAAATATTGTATGAAATTCAAAATTTTAATTCTTTTTTTTGAATTTGAATTTGAATTTATGATATATTTTGTTGAATTTTTTTACTGGAACAATAAAATATTGTATGAAATTTATAAATTCATAAATTTTTACAATATGAATCAATTTATTTTACTTTTTTTGTAACTTCAAAAATTTCTATTATTATTATTTTTTTCAGGTCAAGTAATTTTTATTTAATGCTATTATTACTTATGTTATTTCTTTGTACACTTCCGGTTGGTTATGTAATCGCTTCAAAAAAACCATCTAAAATTTGCGGTCCATTTGGGTTTGTTTTAATTCGTTTTCTTTTTTTTTTCCCACCAATAATTTTAAAATTTAGGTTTTGTTGATATGATCAGAGATTTGAAAAAAAAAATTGATTTAAAAGATTAAAAAAACGAATTTGAAATTTAACATCTAAAAACAATTTTTTTTTCCATTTAAAAATTTGCTACTTTTCTCATTCAAATTTTATTCATTATTTTGAAAATACTTTTGAAATTCTTCAAATTTAATCAATTAAATTGTTAATGTTTAAAAGTTTTTTGCTTTTTTTCACAAACTACAAAATAATTTTTTTTTTTTTTTTTTTAGAAGTCAAGAACGTTTCTATAGTGTAATTGTTCAATTGCTTGATCGTAATTTAACAAAAGGTCTTGTTGATGCGATCAGATATATGATATCACCGGGTATTGTTATTCCAGTTTTATTACTTCTTCTTTTAACAATATATTTCCTTTTTGCTCTGGTACGTGGTTTACGTGAAGCAAATACGGATCTCACCAAGCAATTATTACATGTATGTTTATTACTTTATTACTTATACTTTCATTTTACTTTAGTTTTTTTGTCCATTTTTTACTTAACTATAATGTATCTTTTATTGTTTCAATAAAAATTTAAATGTTTTTCATTTTCAAATATATCAAATTACGCTTACAATTCCTTTAGTATCTATTTGAGTAACAAAACAGAAAAAAAAAGTAGAAATGAAAGAGTTTTTCGTTTTTTTTTTCTTAACTTTCGACATTTGTTTTATTTCATTTTTAAGACTAAAAATTTTTTAGGAAAGAACAGAAGAAAAAAACGAATTTTCGAATTGGCTGGTGGTGGAAAGAAACGTCAAATTTCTAATAATCAAGAAATTCAACATTCTTCTTTAATTGCCAGTGATAGTAATAATACAACAAATAAAACTAATAATATTTTGGTTAATTTTTTTTTTTTTAAGTTATATTTGCATAATTACATTTAATTATTTTATTTTATATTTTTGAAGACTATATTTTAAGTTATATTATGTTAGCAAGTATTTACATCTTTTATTGCATAGAATGAATACTTATTTTGTATTATATTTAATATTTTTTTTTCTTTAATTTGCTTCATTTTAATAGTTTTAAGAAAAAAATAATCAAATAATGTAATCAAAAATCATAAATCAAAATTGAAATTTTAGGAGGATGAAATTTTATCAGATAAATCGCATAAAAGAAGTAATAAGGATTTACACAGTTATGTTCCCTCATTAAAGTAAGTCATAACAAATGCGTATGTTATAATAATGCTTCAGTGATATGATTAGATGATAAGATCTATCAGAATTATTGATTAAATATTGAATTAAACTTATGCGAATGAATGCTAAATTTATTTATTTATTTATTTATTAATTTTCTTTTTTCAATGAATGCCAAATTTATATTTCATTGAGATACTTAGGATTATTTGATAATTCATTCATATTATAACCATTTATTCGATGAATGTCCGGAAAATATTAATTTAATACTTAGTAATTGACAGTTTATATTTAAATTTGAAAGAGATTAAATTTTAAAATGTAACCATCAAAGAAGGCATCATTTAGAAGTGTTAGCGAAGCGGAACATTCGGAATCAGAAGAGGAAGAACCGGAACAGAAACTGAAAAAACATCAAAAAGACGATGAAAAAACCGAAATGATTGAAGTGAAACGTGGTTGGAAGCAAAAAATTATAACTTGGCTTGGTTTAAATAAAAATTCCAATAGGTCAATAAGTTCATACTTTTTTTTAAAAAAGATCAGTTAGACAAAATTCAGAAATTACAAAAAAAAAAAAAACGGAACAAGTAAAAGTATATAAAGGTGATATTTATTAAATTAAGATTGTATTCATTAAATAAACTAAAAAGAATTTATGAAAATTCGATTAGCAAAATTTTAATTCTCCTTTTTTTTTTTAAGAGCAAGAAAAAATCGTCTACGATATAATCAAAATGATATTGAATCCGGAAATGAATCATTCATATGTGCCAGAAAATCAGCAACATCGGATGACCAACGTTCGATGACATCCATTACCGAATCATGTTTACATAGCTGGTTAAAATAATTGTTTATTATTAAAATTATTTGCTTTAATCAATCACTGATAAAAAAAAAAAAGAATTTCATTTTAAAGATTAGTAATATTTAATTTTTTTCTTTTAAATTAGCAACCTTATTGTTATTGATTTTTAGAGAGAAAAAGATTGTTTAAAATACTTGAAATAATTTTTAATCGATCATTTAATGAATGTTTTATTGGTAATCAAAAATTAATTAATATTTCAGTCCTTCATCAGAAAAATTAATTGGAGAAGATGATAATGAAATAAAAAGTAATCGAAACGGTTTTTTCACTACTAAAAAGTAAAACTATTATTTATTTTAAATTTTCAAAAAAAAAAGTTAAATTTAAAAATTTGGTTTAATCGAAATACTTAGGCTATTAAATGATTTTTCTAGCTATCAAAATCTTATCATAACAGATTTGCTGAGCAAACTAAAAGTAAATGCAATAAATAAAATTAGCTAAAAATATAATAACAATGTTTCGTTCATTGATTTTGTAGCAATTTTATACCTTATTTAATAATTGATAATATTATCAGAAATTTGTAGCCAATGATTAAGAATATTTATGATAAACCATTGAATGTTAAATTATTTCCTAAAAAGCTTTTTTTTTTAAAAAAAAAAAGAAATAACGAAAAAGCATTTATGTTATTCATTATTGATGCAAATATTATTATATCTAAAACATTAATTTTTTTTTTTTTTAAATAATTTTTTAACATTGCAAAACTTTTAGTAATGGAAAGCAAATTAAAAAGCAAATGGTATTAGAAGATTTATCAGTACCACAGTATCACGAAACTTTAATGGAACAGACTGTCTCATTAATTAAACCTGCAAATGATAATGACAGGTAAATTCAAATTCATGCAGACTTATGCTTATCAGCAAAAGACTCTCTGTATTATATTATTGTTTCAGTAATTTGATTATTTCTGCTAGCCAATAGTTATTGTTTCAGTAAATTGATTGTTTCTGCCAGCTAATAGTTATTGTTTCAGTAAATTGATTATTTCTGCTAGCTAATAGTTATTGTTTCAGTAATTTGATTATTTCTGCTAGCTAATAGTTATTGTTTCAGTAATTTGATTATTTCTGCTAGCTAATAGTTATTGTTTCAGTAATTTGATTATTTCTGCTAGCTAATAGTTGTTGTTTCAGTAATTTGATTATTTCTGCTAGCTAATAGTTATTGTTTCAGTAAATTGACTATTTCTGCTTACATTCATTTTTAATTATTAAATAAATATGCAAATCATATGATCTAACATTGCTAATGTTAAAAATCAAATTTGTCATATAATTCAGCAACTAAAAAAAAGAATTATCGATTGGAATTATTAACTTATTTAAATCATTCAAAAAATTATATCATTTAATTTAATCAATTAAATTATTGATAATTTCAATGAGAATAATTACAGTCATCAAATCCAAGATCAACAAAATCAAAATCATAAATCATTTGCAAACGATGATTCATTCCATCAATCATCAAAAGAAGTTGAAAATCGAGAATATGATGATACGTCAAATGTATCAGATCCACGCTTCTCGTACGCCGATCCATACAGTAGGTAAGAATAATTTGTTCAAAAAAGAAGAAAGAAAGAAAGAGTCTGAATTTCTTTTATGTCTGAATTGAAATAATTTATTAAGAAAAATTAATTAATTAGATTAATTAATTAAATTAGTAGTTTAGTTATGCAAATGCAATGATGTCACCATTAATGGAAATGCAAACATTATCACCGACAATATATTCTGAAAGTGAAATAGAAGCAGAAGATGAATTTAATGATATTACTGGTACTCTAAAATTGGAAGAACATAATAGGTAAGAAAAAAGAATTTAAATTTTGAAAAGTGAAAATTTAAATTTTGCACTTATACATATCTTTATTTAAAAAAAAAAAGATTCGTCAGTCTTTGTGCAGCAGATATTCTGGAATTTTGCAGGAACGACGAAGAAAATAGATATGGCAAATTAAAATCAGATGTAAGACAAAAAGTAGGACAAGATGAAATTGCCCAAGAATTGAAGCCAAATGATACAAGTATTGTTGTGCATCCGGAAATACATATTTCGGCAGCGACATCCGATACTAATACGGAATGTAAAAAGAAATTAAATGATGGAAATCGAAATTTGCCAATGAGTAAAATCAATCCGCAAATTAAATTGGGTAAAGTGGAAGCACGAGTTTTTCTTCATGAAGCAAAACCGAAATGGCATAATTCGGAAGTGCTAGAAAGACCTCAGTTATCAAGTGATTCAGAATCTCGAATGGTTGTTGTTGATGATGATCCAAGATTGTACTATACTGATTCAGAATGTGTCACATCACATGGAAAGCATTTCCAAAGGGTAAAATTTATTTCATATAAAAATTAACTTTCATTAATATTATTTTTTTTTATGCTGAAAAATATTGATATAATTTAATTACATTTGTTTTTTTTTTTATGATCTTTTTAAAAGATCTTTTTTCTTTTTTTTAAAAAATCAAATTTCAGCACAAAAAACCAATCCATTATGCAATACCATATTATGCACGAGCATCAAATACTCAGGTATTTTAATTTCAAAAAATATTTATTTTATTAAATAAAATAAATTAGAATATTTTTAATTCAACTGATGCGATGATATATTAGAAAGATTGAATAAGTGTATAAGAATATTATGATTTAAAGAATGAATTTTTTAATTTTCGGTCATGAAATTTTGATCGAATTCAAATAAAGTATACCTGGTTGAGCTTTTTAAATTGCTTAGTTATACATAAATTTCTTAATTAAAGAATTTACCTGTTTTAATAGAATATAACTTTCTTAATTAAAGAATTTACCTGTTTTAATAGAATATAACTTTCTTAATTAAAGAATTTATTCGTTTAATAGAATTTATAATTCCTTTCAAATTTAATCATTTTAATAAGACCTTTTAATTTTACTACACTCATTTTCATTCCTTAAAAAAGAAAAAAAAAAAAAGCTTTTTCTAATGATAATTTCAGGAAGCTGTTCAAACTGATACCTTATTGCAGCAATTTTTGATGCGAGTAAATATTAGTGAAGATCGTTCCGGTATACTGCCGAATCGTCCACCACTATCCCATCAATCTTTGCCATTATCATCGTTATCAACATCAAAACAACATCCGACACATGCGACACAATCTACAATGAATGAAGTTCAACATACCATAAATCGACGACAGTTGTCACCTAGTGAAACAACTCGAATTCATTGTAAACATACTCTTGTATAGTGGTTATATTTTAGGAAAATTTTAAATTATATTTTCATTCTTTCATTTTTTTTTTTATTTTGATAATAGAAAAGAGAAAAATTATTCAATAATTGATTAAATGAATTAATTGCAATAAAAAAAATACACAATTTCAAACGATAATGTACGTAAACTAAAGTTTAAATGTTTGATTTTTCTTTTTTTTTTTTTCCATTTGTAAATAAAAATGGATGTTTTTATTGCAAAAATTTTTCGTTTTTATTATTTTATTTTATATTTGCATTTCACATCGATGAAATTAATTTTGTTAGATTTTATTATGTTTTTGCAACTGTACAAAATATTCAAATGCATTTTACTATAATTATTTAAAAAAAAATTATGCAAAAGAGTGAAAAAAGTAATAGGAAATTATTATGTTTCGTTTTTATAAAATTTTTTCCAAAGTATTCGATTTTCTTTGCTTTTTTTTTGAAAGTGATAAAATTTTCGATTATTTAAAATGCAAAAGTTTTTTTTTTCCCCCAAAAGTGAAACAATGAAATATTTATTCAAATTTATTGTTAAATTTAATTATTTAAAGATTTGCAAGAATTATAAAAAAAAAAAAACAATGCTAATCAAATGCTCTAAACAGTACTTTTAACATTATTATTTAACATATGAAAGTAGCAAAAGTTAATTTTTTTTTTCAAAATATAATTAAATTATTCATTGCCTAAATGATTTTATATTTTTTGCAAAATGTTAATTTCCAGTAGGGAATATATATTTAAATTTAATCCCATATTATGATATAAATTTATTATGGTTAACTCTGTTCAAGTTGTAAATTAAAGGTTTAAATTTTTTTTTTCCCTTTTGTCACCTCTTTTTTACACATACTTATTTGCATGTTTTCTTGTTTCTTATCATTATTTTTTATTATAATTTTGTTTTCCAACTTTCTTTCTCTCTTTACTGCCATAAAATTTATTAATGTACTAAATTGAATTTGGTGGTAAAAATTTTGTTTTTAACTTTTCTACAATTAATTAAAAGTAACAAAAACGGCAACTTATCATAATTTTTCTCACAATTTGTTCCATCTTTGTTTACCTTTATCATATCATAAAAATCTTATCGTAACAATTTTTTTTCACCTTATCACAAGGATTTTTTTTTTTTTTTCACTTTGTTAATAGTTTTTTTTTCTTTTTGCTCGTATCATAAAAAACTTATAATAAATAATATTTTGATTACAAAAACTTTTTCCTTTTATCATGAAGAGGAACAGAAAATACTGATAGTTACTATTAAAAAATTATTCTTAAGGTGAAATTTTTTTTTTGTTACCTTTACTATATCTTTTCTTTAAATCCTTATCATAAAGAAATGATAAAGATTTCAGATACTATTGAAATGAAAAAAATTCATATCATTTCTCATAATTTTACAAACTAATCAATCACATTTAACACAAATTTTAGGAAATTATTTATCAAGAGTAATTATCACTTATCATTGTTATTAATGGCTACTATATAAATAATACCGTGCTAAATAATATTTTGCTAAAAATTAATCTAAATTTCAATATGTAAATAAAATATTATTACCATAAAATAAAAAAACAAAAACAAGAAATGAAAAATTTGCTAGCAAAATGATTATATTAAATGATTTTTGATATTTTTAGTATTTAAATTATACAATTTAAATTTCATTCATAAAATTTGAATCAATTTCTGAGTTATGACTCAGCATGAAGGGTATTGTAGAAGATGTCACGAGTTCAATAATGTTTTATTGATTTTATGTCTAACTAAAGATTTTGAAATCAATTATTGAAAACCGGCTGACAAATCATGAAGAGAAACAGGACAAAGAAAGAGAGAGAGAGAGAATGAGAGAGAGAGGGACAGAGAAAGAGGAGAGACAAATTTTGTCACATACAGCTTTCATCTTTTTGTAATATTGGTAATAGCTTTTTACCGCTATTATTATTATTGTTCAAGCTTCATTATCTAATTAACAATGGTAAATTTTGTTTTTATTTTTGCATTTTTTTTTTAAGAATTAGAAATTTAATTAAATTTCTATAATTTATTGCTGTGCAGTTTCACACATTTTCTTATAATTTTTCATTTTTAATTCAATTTATTACAATTACAATTAGTTGGTAAAGTTGTTTTTCATGTAAACAAAAAAAAAAAAAACCGATAAATAAAACTTTCTGCACTAATAGCTTCATAAGTATATATGGCATCATTTTATCACTTTTGCTTTTTAATTAATTTATTAAGTATTAATTTTTTTCCTAATTTAGAAGTAAAAAAATAAATAAATAAAATGTAAATAAATAAGTTATGGAGAAAAGATATACTTTATTCCATAATTTCTATTTTTAATCATTTATTCAAAAAAAAAAAAAAAAAAAAAGAAAAAGAAAAATTATTTACCTCACAACTTTTATGTGTGCTTTAAAGTCATTTCATTAGTTTGTTGATTTTTTTTTTTTTTTTGAAATTTAAATCTGAATTTAAAATGTTATTCTAATTCTATTGAAATTTTGGGGCAGTAATAACAAAAGAGGCGATTTAGAGTAAAATTAAAAATTTTTAACACTTACTATGTGCATATATATTTAATGTATTACCAGATTTACAGTGCATTATTTAATTTAATCAATTTTTTGTAGCAAACTTTTCACGGTCAACCTTATGGACCGTATCCGGCAGGTCAGTGTTATCCGTGTTCGCCAGCCCCAGGCTATTATTGTCCACAGCCATGTTATCAGTAAATTTTATTTCATTTATAACAGTGTAAAATATTGTTGATCTTAACATAAGGATTAAAATGTTTTTTTTTTTCAAAATAAAAATTTTGATTAGTCATTAAATTTGAATAATTTTTCATTAATCCAAGTAAAAAATAAAAATTGCTTATGCATTTTTTTTTACTAGAAATTCAGAAGAAAAATTTAATTATAATAAAAATCGAACAAATGGTGCCTATTTAATGAAAATGATATAACTAATAAACAATATCAAGAGTTTTGAATTTTCAGTCATAATGATTTTATTTTCATATATTTTAGTGAAAGACCAAGATATCCCGGATGTTCCGGTTGGTTAATGGCATTAATTGCGTTATGTTGTGGATGTTTTATTGGAGAGCATTTTGATACAGATTGTTGCTGTTGTTTCATTCCATGTCCACCGTGTCATAGATATTAAAAAGAATGGAAATGAATCTTTTGATATTGAAAATTATCCGAACAAATGCTTGTGAATATGTCCATTTTTTTTTACTTTATTATATATATATATTTAATTTTAATTATAATTAAATATTGCCTCATTAATCTCGGTTTTCTTTTTACACTTTTTTTAATCAATTTTCCTATTATTTGGCATATTGTTAATGTTAGTTTTAGCTATATCAGGCAGTATTATTTAATATCAAATATATTGATAATTGCTTGATGACTTCGCGGCTTCTAACGATAATAATGATAGTGCTGTTAATTTGATGATAACGGTGATGACGATGAAGAAGGATGATAATAATCAATTTAATGATGATAAAAGAAGATACACGAAATATTAATTTGCTGGATGGAAGATTATGATAATTAGGTTCTCCGCTCTGTCAGTGATATTTTAGTTGATGATGCATGATAAAAGAAATTGCTAAATCTTTCATATTTCTGAAATCTTTTATGAGTTGCATTCCTCCGTTGTTCAATAATATACATTGAATCCTCTACAATTTCCGAAATTGTTTCGGAATATGCCTTACCTGGCTATTTTCTTTAAAATGTTGTTAATTGCTTTCTCCTTGACACTGAATCATTTGCCTTGAACCATACTGCAAGTTTTTTCTTTTTTTGTTTAAATTAAAATTAATAAATTCTTAGCATAAAATGATATGAAACTCTTTGGAATAGCTCGTATTTGTTCAGCAAATTTTAATCGACTGAATTAAACACCATTATCGGATTACAAAGTGATTAATTTGAAAAATAATCTGGAAGTGACTATTAAACTTATTAGATAAAACTAAAAAATCAAAATCGATGAACACAACATATAATTTTTGATCGTAAATAGAAAAACCGAAGTCAGTTCAAACATAACCTTTTAGTACATTCTTTTAAATTTTAGAAGAGAGATAAAGACAGAGACCGGGGAATCAAATTCTTTTAGGAGCTTTAATATGTCCTTGCAACAATACTTTTACAAAGCAACAATAAACATGTCGTTGCTCTAGTTACCAGTTACAAACCACTTACAAACCAATTACAAACACTTACAAACCAATTCCAAACCAACTGCAAACCACTTACAAACCAATTCCAAACCAACTACAAACCATTTACAAACCAATTCCAAACCACTTACAAACCAATTACAAACCAATTCCAAACCAATTACAAACCATCTACAAACCAATTACAAACCACTCACAAACCACTTACAAACCAATTACAAACCAATTACAAACCACCTACAAACCAATTACAAACCATCTACAAACCAATTACAAACCACTCACAAACCAATTACAAACCACCTACAAACCAATTACAAACCACTCACAAACCAATTCCAAACCACTTACAAACCAATTACAAACCAACTACAAACCACTTACAAACCAATTCCAAACCACTTACAAACCAATTACAAACCACTTACAAACCAATTACAAACCATCTACAAACCAATTACAAACCACTCACAAACCAATTCAAAACCACTTACAAACCAATTCCAAACCAACTACAAACCACTTACAAACCAATTCCAAACCACTTACAAACCGCTTACAAACCAATTACAAACCACTCACAAACCACTTGCAAACCAATTACAAACCAATTACAAACCACTTAGAAACCACTTGCAAACCAATTCCAAACCAACTACAAACCACTTACAAACCAATTCCAAACCACTTAAAAATCAATTAAAAACCACTCACAAACCAATTATAAACCACCTACTAACCATTTACAAACCACTTATAAACTG